CATAATAGCTCAAACCTTTACTATATATAAAATAATATTTTCTGTAAATCTCCTCAATCTCATCAGAGCTAAGCATTAATATTTTTCCATCTTTTTTCACATTCTTTCGTACAGGATTAGAATGCATATTAGTGGTTTCAGTAATACAGTTCTTTAGGTGATCATTTGCACATTCGATTGTATTTTCACGAATAATAACTAAGGAGTCACATACAGTGCAATAAATGTGGAATGAGCGTCTCCCAGTATTAAATTTCCCATCTATATATACTCTTTCGATCATTTGGATAAATCCATTCTTAGAGAAGTATTTTGAGTTATATTTGAGAAGTTTTTTAAATGGACAACGAATATGAGAACACCACATTTCTGATGTTTCATCGCTATAACTATATTGCAGATTGTTTAATGCCTGCACTACTTCAGGATTTAAACTAGAATAGAAGTTAGTTTTAACCATTTTTTACTCTTTATAGTTTATGGCCGACTCTAGTGATTTATAGCGTTTTTTAGCAATTTATAGCATTTTTAGTGATTCTTTATCAACTTATATTAAGGAATATCGCGATTCAAATTTGTAGCCAAAAACGAAAAAAAAATGCAAATATATACTTCATAGATTTTTATTTCACATCGACACTTTTTTACCTAATATATTACTCAATTGTGATCTCAAGAATAGCATTAGGAAAACGGTAGACAACTAATGCGTGGCACTTTTGTTTGTGATTGGCCCAGAAGAAATTTTACTCATCTAATTTGAAAGGCATATCCCAACCTAGCCTAATTGCTAATAGATCGTCAATTGGCTTAGTGAAATCAAAAACAATGAAATTCCGATCTCGCAAATGCTTGTCAATAATTTTGGATGCCTTTTTTGGATCATCTGTATATTGACGTACGATTCTACTAATATCGTCTCTACTCTCCGAGCCTAATGATTTGAACCAGGTAAAAAATTCCTAATTAGTTAACCGAGTTAACTTATCTGGATACAATCGGGTTAACCGTATTGTTTCGGTTAGATCGGTTGACCTGGGTCAACCAAATTAGTCGGGTCAACCAAATTATCCGGGTTAACCGAATTAGTCGGTTAACCGAGCTAGTCGGGTCATAAGTTAACCAGGTTAGCTGAGCCAACCGAATTAACAGGGTCAACAGAGGCTCAAAAAATCTATACATATCTCTAAGTCACAAAAATTGATGTCAGGTCAACAGGTCAACTAATTATATCTGGTCAACCGATTATATCGGGGCCAGCCAATCAACTGATTATATCAGGTCAACTAAATAACCAGATTAATCGGTTAAGCATTTGCTTAACCGAATCATCTGATTTTTTTAGTTCGGTCCGGTTACCCGATTATGGTCTAACCAGTTCACATCATTACCTGAGCCTCGAAATAAGCATAAATGTCAGATATTTTCACGAATAATTTTTGGGGTTTGTGTGTATTTCTGGCTTACATATATGGGTGAAACATTTTAATGCCGACCACTAATGAAGTAAGGAATAATTCGTTCTTGTACTTTTTTTGGTTCAGTACATAGATCCTCAAAAACAACAACTGTACTTTATTCTGGAGAGAATTTAGTAATATCTGGAATCTTATCCGGGTATTAATCTTTTAAATGTAACATCTTCTCGATACTCTTTTGGGCCATTTGTGAAAATCTGATAAAAATCTCTTACTAATTGCCATTTTGGCTCAAAATGCTTACTTATTAATACAAGGTCATCATTTTTGATATAGCAACTTCCTTTCTTACCTTTAAACATTTGTAGTGGTTTATCACCAAGCAAGATATTTATTTCTATATTAGTTTTTCCGCTATTGGAGCTTCCATTTATGAGCATCTTAAATGGGCAGTCTGGTGAATACTTATTACCCTTCATTCGTTCTGATGATTTTCTAGATGTCTTATTGATATTATATATATATATGGGCATGTCTTTATCTTTCATCCTAATCAAGATAAGTAATATTAAATTATTGTATTAAAAAATAATGATCTTTATGGATTTATTCTTTATGCGATAAATAATCTCTCTCTTGCAATTCACTTTTGATATAGGGCAAAAGATCGCATGTATACGGAATTTCAATAAGATCTATACTTTCTCGCTTGCATATATTCCGCTTTTTTTGATCACGCTTTCTTTGTGCAACTAGGTTGGTCTCGCTATTGGGGTGAAAGTGTTTTGGAACAACACAAAAATGTTGGACGCCGTGAAATTCAAATGCCAATTTTAGCTCTTCATTATACCCATCTAATTGCATCCTATCTAAAAATGATGGTCTACAAGATGGAAATTTCTTATCTAGCAGGTCCTCAAAAATGTATCAACAGGCTCTTTCAGTAGTATGATAACATAGGGGGCACTATTCGAATTTTTTCATAATATATTTTAATGGATACTCCCATTGATGCGCACCATTCTTACAAGACCAGAGATAGATACTGTGCCCATGTATCTGGCCAGTTTTTCCAAGGCATTGGCCACCACGCTTCTCTGCGTAAATCTGGGCTTGATTTATTTCGTTATTAGAAGTACAGACAAAATGCACAGATAATATGCTTTGGGGTGGGTGCCCAACATTTTCTGGATCATCTATTAACATAAGTTCTTCTCGTACAAACTCACGTGTTGGAGCAAATTCATCGTTATCACTCCTGAAATAATATAAAACTGGTTCATTCTTTATTATAACAATTTTTTGGATTTTATGAAGACTTGGCGACCATACTGGGTCTGTACTTCTGCGGACCGCTTCCATACCTCCTTCCCATTCTGCATTGGCAAGTAAGTAACGGACAGTATCATCTTTTTTTAACTTTGTTTTATCTTTCCCAACTGGTCGCTTATATTTTGTAGATGGTCTAGATTCTACTCGTTCCAATGTAATGGCTTTTACAAGCTCGAGCCCCACTTTTTCGATCCTGGTTCTCGAATAAGACGTGTGGGATAGTTATTTAGATAATCTATAACTTCTGGTAAAAATCTAACCCACACTCTTATTAATTTAGAATCAGAAGTTATTGATTCAATAGCATACTGGGTCTTATACAGAATTTTTGAGAGTGTCTGATTAAAACGCTCTACTAATGCAAGGCCTCGATGGAAATATGGACCGACCACTCGGATTATGACATTATGCTCTTGCATCAATCAGGAAGTCTCGCCCATCCATTCTTTTCCATTATCTGTTTGAAGTAGCTTAGGATAGGTAAGAGGATTATTTCGATTACCATATATTTTCCTAAATGCTTTAGCAACTTCAGAACTTTTCTTTGATCTAAGAGGGACTGAAGCCTTGTATCTGGAAGCGCAGTCTATAATGTTAAGTACTGCTTTATATTTTTTACCTTTATAGTGGTCATGAGTAAAAAATAGTATATCACATTGGTGAACGCAATTAGGGCATGTTATTCGTCCATAGCTAATTCTAAGAATGTATTTTGGAGAAGTTTTATTGGTTTGGTATGATTCCTAATTTTCTAAAAAATCTTTGCATTCACTTAGGTGAAATCGACGCCCCTCTTTTTTACATGCATCTCTCAGAGATTTAGGATTGGAATAATACCCAGTCGGGCGATAATATATATCACGCAATATGAGATTTTTTTCGATTCTCTGAGCCTCATCTGGATTGATGTAAATAACCGGCTTCTCCATTACTTTATTCAATTATAGTAAATAAAAAATATGGAGAAATTACAACAAACTAACCAAGAACTCCATGAGGTAGTATCCTAATTGGCAGAATCAAATAGGAATTTTGAAAAACGTCTATATACCTTAGAAAGAATTATTGGCATACGGGAAGAGAGA